GGAGGAGGAGAGGGGGCGGGGTCAATAACAATATCAATAACAACAGTTTTTGCGCTGTATCTGAGTCAAAAGAATTTAGGCCTGAATAGATTCTGAACTATTCAAACATGTTAAGACTCAGAACCGTCTCTCTGTCAATCATTTACTTTTTATTTTAATCAGGATTTCCAATCCCAACACATTAACGTGATTATTTAATTACAGAGAAATGAGTGAGATAAGATGTCTAGTCATTCTACTAAAATATACATGAAATATTGACGTGTGATTTAAACACGATTGATTCATTAAAAAAAACCTTAATTAATTTGAATAAAAATCAAGTCCGCCAGCTATAAATGAATAAATAAATAAATAATAACATTTGATTGGAAATCGGTTAAAATGATCAAAGCTTTGCAACAGCTTTTGATCTGGCTCCATTGGAGTAAAAAAAAAGTAAAAAAAATACTTTTCAAAAAGAACTCAATTTCAGTCCTTAGACGAAGAAAAGAAAAATATTTTCTGAGTTGGTACGAATTAAAAAAAAACAAACAATCACATTCAGGCATGATGAATTAAAAAAGTTTCAGTTCATTTCTTGTTTATAACATAATTGCAATTGAAATAATATATAGATTTTTTTAGACATGTTACATGGACGGTTGCTGGTCCTGTAAACCAGACGTGAAAAACAAAACTTTTTGACTCGTGGGCCACAATTGTCCTAAATTTGAACCGGGGGTCATGAGCAGATAGATGGAGCGAACTAAAATAAATGACATGTAAAAGTCATCCATAAACGCTTTTCTACGCCACCTATTGGGGAAACATGGAAACATATTGCAGGGATAAGGCAGAAGTATAATGATAATATAAATAAAGTATATAATTTGGAATGTTTTGGCGGGCCGGATAAAAAGTTAGACGGGCCACACCCGGCCCCCGGGCCTTAGTTTGCCAATGCCAGCTGTAAACTGTTTTCTTTAACTTTAGAAAAATCCTGCAGTCACTTTCCCCTGCAGCTAAATCTGTTCTCACTGTCACTACACTGTGAGTGAGTGATGACAGACACGAAGCAAATATACAGATTTAATTGACAACCGAGAAGAACATTTATTTCTTTATTGTTCTTGTAACTTTCAGTGGTTTTCAGACACCACATCTATCAACAACAAAAAAAAAACACACACACTTTTCCCAAAAGTCGTTGAATTCATTTAAATTTTTGTAATTCAAAGTGTGGGAGGAGTTAAATCATGTTTATTTTCCTTTAGATTCAGTAGCTCCTGCTCTGAACACTACCTTCCGAGATGCGAAGGAGTGAAACGGGATGAATATGTTTGTGTCATCTCCAATTTCAAACAGGAAGACATTTCAAAAGCTGATTCTCTCCGGAGGAAATGTTGTACCTCCAGAGAGAAAATATCATTTGAAAGCCAAGACAGTTAAAGCCAGTAGGAGGAGGCAGCGTGTCACCTCAGTGCTTATAGGCATGGGGAGGGAGAAAAAAAAAAGTAAACGAAGTGAGTGAGAGTGAGAGTGAGGGTGAGGATAGGAGCGGGGAGACACAGTGATGAGTAAAGGGGTGACACATCCTGAGGAGCATGTTAATAACGTGCCAGGCTCCGGCAGGTAAGCAGTAATCAGACGCTCTGATTGTAGTCGACAGTCGACAGAAACACACACACACACACACAAACAATCGCAGCCCTCCATCTCCATCAGCCCTGAGACTGCTCCTCTGTTCTGTCATGTTCTGCGTTAGCGCCCCCTGCTAACAGTTTGTCACAGCTTTTACGAAGACAAAAGGAACAAATTAGATGGTTTGGTTACGACAAACGGCTCCGGGTCCTTCTTTCCCACTGCAAAATGAAAGACACCCCCCCCCACACCCCACCTCAGCCACTGTGTCAATTAGAGCAGTAAGTGCTCATATTCTCTCTCGACTTCAGTGCTAGCCTTTGCAGAATTTAAGTTATTCAGATCAGTCTTGGGGAGATAGTTTTGAGGTGTTTTAAAGTGTGCAGTGGAACGAAGAAAAAAAAACCACACACACACACAAACAGCTGTGAAATAAATTTAAACAACACCTGGTGATAAAACCTGAGGAAGGATGGTGTGTTAGCGGTGGAGAGGGCCCGGGCATACAGAGAGTAAACACAAACAGCCCTGCATGAGTAGGATTCTGACTTAAAAGGCAGCACGAGGTAGGAGCAGTGTACAAAGCGCATCCTGAATATTTCCCCAGCGGCAGTGGGGAGGCCAGAGGCACTAAGGTCAGCAGAAAGAGTCCAAAGCCCATTGACAGCTGCTGCTTTGACTTTGATACACCATCAGTGTTCCCCGCCCCGCCCTTCCACCACTCTTGCAGTAACCCACAAAGCGTGTTTGCTCAACCTGAACGCATGCTAGCCCTCTCATTATGCCGCCCATGCAGACTTTGTCTCGTTGCAGCTGTTTAATGGCTGCACGTCTGTTTTTGTTTGTTTTCTCGCCATAAGATTATTGCACCTTTATGGTTGGTCGGGGGCTCGGAATAATCCCTGGCATCTGTTCAGAGTGGGAGGGGTGCACCGGGAGCCGGAGGTAGAGGCTCGCTCCTGTTTTATTTATTTTTTAAATATGAGGCCATGAGGGCTCCCCCCCCAGCCCCTCCGACCCCCCCCAGCTTTTATCCTCCACCAGTGAGGCCTGGGCCGGTGGCTGGATGTTAAAGACAAGAGAGACGGGAGGCGTCGCGTGCTAACAGGCGGGGGAGGAGGGGCCACTTTAGGAGCGTCCCGCTGCCATTTAACCATCCCTTAATGAACACTGAATAACAGGGATTAATTAATGTCTTGAATATAGACATTTCTATTGAATTTCATGGTGGTGAGTAATGTATACATTTTACTGGACAATTTTTTGCGCTCCTTGGTTTTTGTTGTTGACAGTTGGCACTTTGTTGTTCTCATTTTTTTAGAGTAATTTTTGTTCAGAGTGGATCTGTCTTCCCTTTATTTCCTGTGTCCATTCATTACCAATATTATTTTCCTCCGTTGCCTACAATCGGGTCCTGAATTCACCTGCGTTTTCTTGACATGTGTTACTGGAAAAACGTAACAAATGTGGTCAGCACACAGAACATTTCTCCACTCGGGCTGGAAGGTGTTGTACAGTACAGTCTCTGACAGTTAACTGAAGACTTTTGGTTTGTGGAGACGGCCTGTCATTCAGTGATGTGGGAAACACACACTGAGATTTTACGTCTGATTTTTTTTTTTCTTTTTGCAGATTTGGCAGTTTATGTACTGCATGTGTTTATGAGATGGAGTGGGTGAGGAACCAGGCCTGTTATCAGAAGGTTGTCGGTTCAAATCTTGGCCCTTGGCAGGACTGTGGTGTGTTGAAAATTCTTCCTCATCTCATCCTAACTATATGGGATGTTTTAAGAAGACGTTAAAACGCAGAGAGCAAATTTCACTAAGACAAAGGTTCCCAAACCAAGGAGTGCGCCCTCCATAGGGGGCAAAGAGCATTTGTGTAATGACGCACTTGGGCAAATTTATTTAGTTTTAATAAAAGTTTTTTTTTAACTACGTGAGGTTGAAGTTTTCCTTCCTCACCCAGGACTCCATCTTGTCATGGTTTTTCTGCCTTCAGCCATTATGGCAGGACAACAGGAAGTTAATCAACACAGCATTATCTCCCAGCCTGCACCTGGAGGCTGTAGTGCCAGCCTTGCTCTCACCCCCCTCTCTAGTGGGACCCCTGCCAGCTTGGGATCCCCTCACACTGCATACCCCGCAGCATCCCTGTTGGCTGTAACTAGTGAGCAGTGTCTCAGTGCCAGGTCAGACGGGTGACACAGCCTTGAAGAGCCAATAAAAGCCATCTTGTATTCTTTAGAGTGACATTGATTTGTTTTGGAGTGTTGTGTTGTTTTAATGGAAATGTTGTCTAATGTCAAAGAAACAAATATAGAAAAATAATCTTCATTCCTAACATTATTGGACCACTAGTAAAAATAATCTTCATTCCTAACATTATTCAACCTCTAGCTAGCTATATAACAATGTTTATACTGAAGCTAACATTAGCTCTGGTGTTTATACCAGGACTAATGTTAGCTAATGTAGCTATTGTCTGTTCCAGGATTGTTGTTGCTATTGTTAGCTCTGCTGTCTGTACCAGGAGTGTTGTAGCTAATGTTAGCTCTGGTGTTTATCACAGGAGTGTTGTAGCTAATGTTAGCTCTGGTGTCTGTACCAGGACTGTAGTAGCAAACACTAGCTCTGGTGTCTGCACCTTGTAGCACCTTGTAGCTAACGCTAGCTCAGGCTGTCCTTCAGCATTCCACGTTCTTTTATTTCTACTCATTAGTTTGCTGAGAACACGGATGGGTCTGGTCTACTGTGATGTCCCACCTCTCTGTATGCCCATCGTGTTACAGCTCTCTCTCTTTCCTTCTTTTTTTTTTTCAAACTTCAGTGTGTAACCACACCTTGTACACAACTGACTCAAAAGGATTTACAGCTTTTTGTGAAGTGCTGCATACGCCATGTCAATATTGTGAGACCGGCGTGTAATTATTATTCAAAGGTTAAAGAGTGGATTGATCCATAAAGGAGTGTCAAGGGCAGATCAAAGGGATGCGGAGGAGTATCGGACCAGAAATGTTAAAAGCCGCTCACAGAGGTGTCAATCTTGGTGAGAGCACCTTGATGTCCTTAGAGGAGAACTTGATCAAAGCCTCTGTAACAGAGATGGTCTCAGAAGATGATCTGACCTAAGCCACATTTCACGTCCGTCTTTCATGTTACTTTTACCCGTCTTCATTTACCTGCCCGAGCTTACCCACCGCTGCCCCTTCTCCCGTTTTTTTGCCGTGTTTGTGGTGCTGCTTAGACTTTTGTCTGAATATCAATGAAGTAGTCTCACAATGTATTACAAACAGCAGAGAACAGTGATTAAAGGTGGCACATCTAACCCTCACCCCTTTCCTCTCTCCCCTTCTTTTTTCCTCTCTTTTTTTGCAGGAGATTGCAGCTTACTTGATAACATTTGAAAAGCATGAAGAATGGCTAACAACGTCCCCCAAAACAAGGTAAGATGCGAACACTCCCGCTAAATTGCACTTTTACATCCAGCGCCTCACAAATGTGCCATTTCTGGAGCCGAGAAGAAACAAAAAACACCCAAAAACATAATTTGCAGTTGTACATTTCTTTCTTCAAGACTGTGTCCCTTATGCGCAGAACAGAAGTTCTCCAAATTCACTGCCGGACTCTTGTTATTATAGGCTGCTGATAGCTGCTCAGAGAAGTTTATGGGATCTCAGATAAAGGATGGAAATATTAATTTCCACTAATAACTGCCTTTTAGCGAGTTAATTAAGGCAGAATGCATGAGTGCAGCATCTTCTTTGAGTGAAATGGTAATATGTCCCTATCTGCCCGCACATCCACCACTCAGCTAATAGCACTGTTGGATTGGGAGTTTTTTTTTTTTGGGTCAGACGTTACACCCACACGATGCAAAATGCCAAGAGCTAGCGTGGTATTTGAAACAGAACAGGGATGCCAACGTCGCAGTTAATTTATTTTGTTAATGTATGCAGACACATAGATGCCAAACTGCAGAAGAAGAAGAAGAACATGCTCTTTTTTTTTTTTTTGGCTTTTACACAGAGCGTGTCGCATAACATTTTGTGTCAGCAAACAAATGTGCTCTGTGACCACAGTGTCCACAGCGCAGCTATATAATGTAATGTGGACTTATAATTAATAATGCATGTGGCTTTGAAATAGTGTTCCTCAAAAATTGGGCCGTAGTGGACGAACGGCCCCGGGTTGCGTTGTTTGTTTTACTGTCACACCGGGCCATGTCTCTGCTGCTCCTACAGAGGAGGTTCACACCAGGTTCTTGTTGACTACAATTTGCATGTTCATTCATTTGGAGTCGGCCCAGTGTGTTAAACATTTCCTCCTTGCTTTCCACCAGTTTCACCGACTGTGTAAATGGACCCTGCTCACTGACATAGACCCTCCCTTCCCCTGTACCCCCCACCCCTACTTTTACTGCCTTGAAGGGACAAGTACAATAGTTCTGCATAAATACACTACCAATTAGAATGTTCCTTGGTGTAATTATTAAACATGGGCCACAGCTCAGTGGACTGGGCCCTGAACTCACCATTGTCTTCTCACTAATTTGCCGACGTTAACTGACGTTATTAATGTATATGTGGTACAGTACTTAGTGTTTATTTTCCCACGGACAGGTGCGTCACTACCAGACGTCACTGCTGCTGAATTACTTTACTGTTACTTACATTTAATTAAAAAATAAAATAAAATAAAATAAATTAATAAAAACCGGCATATCGAGGCCTTCTAGGTGGTCCACATTTACGTTGGCGATTCGAGTGATTTGATTGGACGGTCAAAAAAAATGTCGAATGTGTCGAATCTACCAAACTGATAATAAAGTTGTCGCGGCGTCCATTTTACCGCTGTCGAGTGGACATTCTCAACATAAACTTTTTAAACTTTTGCCATAAACGTCGGGACAGACTGGACTATTGGCACGGATAACGTTGGAAAAGGACTTGTGTTTACGGCTGTAACGCACGGATAGTCGTCACAACAATAGTAAGTATTTGAATACTTATATGGAGAGAGAGAGAGAGAGAGAGAAGGGTGGATTTGTGTACATGTTTTCCGGAGTTTTGGTGAAAAAAATGTCTTTTGTCATTTTAATATTACTGTAATTGTGTTATGTTATGTATTATTGTACATTATGTCGCTGCTGCGGCTAATTTTCGCTGTGTGGGTTTGTTGCTTAGTTGCTAGTAGTGGCGTTATCGTGGCTGTATGAGTTAGCTAGCATATAACAACTGGTTATACTGCGTTTCAGCTTAATATTGATGGTTTCTATAGACATAAATACGTCATTTAGATATGAATTTATCCAGGCACGTCGCCACTGAATGCCTAGGTAGGAAATTCTCGTGACCACAGTCTGTCAGCGCTGGCTGTCGGTTCTCCAGCGGCCTCAGCTGGAGGTGTGCTCAGAGATTTCAACCTTGTGTCAAGTCTCAGAGCAGGTGGTGATTTTTCAGCAAATGTGTCACCAGGGAGCAGCCCCTATTGTTCACCTGCAGATGACCTGACATCACAACAACACTGCATGTCCCATGTTTAGAGGAGCCATCATCTGACGACAAACACAGGTCTCTCTCTGTGTGTGTGTGTTTGTGTGTGTGTGTGTGAGGCAGGGGGAGATGTTGTGAAGTGTTTGTGTTTTACCAGATGTCAGCGAAAGGGTAGAGTGTAGTGATGGATGCCTGGGCAAAGAGTGGTGGGGGGTGTGAAAGGCTACAGCATATGTGTGTGTGTTTGATTGATGGGAGATGATTGATGTCTGGCCGCTATATAAAAAGCTTTCTGCTCAAGGTCACGGGTGAAAGATCAAACCCGGGACACCTGTGGTTAAACGCTGCGTTATCATTTGTCAACCTATGTCGCTCTGTGAGTGTGAGTGGGTGTGTGTGTGTGCTGTCAGCTTGTCTATGTGTGCGTCACTACCAGACGTCACTGCTGCTGAATTACTTTACTGTTACTTACATTTAATTAAAAAATAAAATAAAATAAAATAAATTAATAAAAACCGGCATATCGAGGCCTTCTAGGTGGTCCACATTTACGTTGGCGATTCGAGTGATTTGATTGGACGGTCAAAAAAAATGTCGAATGTGTCGAATCTACCAAACTGATAATAAAGTTGTCGCGGCGTCCATTTCACCGCTGTCGAGTGGACATTCTCAACATAAACTTTTTAAACTTTTGCCATAAACGTCGGGACAGACTGGACTATTGGCACGGATAACGTTGGAAAAGGACTTGTGTTTACGGCTGTAACGCACGGATAGTCGTCACAACAATAGTAAGTATTTGAATACTTATATGGACACAGAGAGAGAGAGAGAGAAGGGTGGATTTGTGTACATGTTTTCCGGAGTTTTGGTGAAAAAAATGTCTTTTGTCATTTTAATATTACTGTAATTGTGTTATGTTATGTATTATTGTACATTATGTCGCTGCTGCGGCTAATTTTCGCTGTGTGGGTTTGTTGCTTAGTTGCTAGTAGTGGCGTTATCGTGGCTGTATGAGTTAGCTAGCATGTAACGACTGGTTATACTGCGTATCAGCTTAATATTGATGGTTTCTATAGACATAAATACGTCATTTAGATATGAATTTATCCAGGCACGTCGCCACTGAATGCCTAGGTAGGAAATTCTCGTGACCACAGTCTGTCAGCGCTGGCTGTCGGTTCTCCAGCGGCCTCAGCTGGAGGTGTGCTCAGAGATTTCAACCTTGTGTCAAGTCTCAGAGCAGGTGGTGATTTTTCAGCAAATGTGTCACCAGGGAGCAGCCCCTATTGTTCACCTGCAGATGACCTGACATCACAACAACACTGCATGTCCCATGTTTAGAGGAGCCATCATCTGACGACAAACACAGGTCTCTCTCTGTGTGTGTGTGTGTTTGTGTGTGTGTGTGTGAGGCAGGGGGAGATGTTGTGAAGTGTTTGTGTTTTACCAGATGTCAGCGAAAGGGTAGAGTGTAGTGATGGATGCCTGGGCAAAGAGTGGTGGGGGGTGTGAAAGGCTACAGCATATGTGTGTGTGTTTGATTGATGGGAGATGATTGATGTCTGGCCGCTATATAAAAAGCTTTCTGCTCAAGGTCACGGGTGAAAGATCAAACCCGGGACACCTGTGGTTAAACGCTGCGTTATCATTTGTCAACCTATGTCGCTCTGTGAGTGTGAGTGGGTGTGTGTGTGTGCTGTCAGCTTGTCTATGTGGGTTGACCCTTGTGGAGAACAGGCTAAGTAGGCTAATTCTGCTGCCAGCGCCTGTAGACAAAGTCAGCGGGGCATGATGGGAGACAGAGATAAGCAGCACGCTCATGCACAGCCAGCCTTCGCGCCGCATCTCTGGAAGCACCGCAGGCATGCGAGCACTCTGACACATGCAGGTCATAGCATGGGGGCGAGGTCCGGTCAGAGCTCACGGCGAGCTGATGCCAGACGTTTGGCCAAGGTGACGTGTGAGGGGGGATAGGAATGCAGAATAAGGAAATGGCATCCTGTCAACAAAAAAAAAGTCTAGTCTTAAGCTCAGACACAGTAGTCTGCCATCGCTGTTTTGAGGGTATTTTTGTTTGTTTATAAATTCAAAATTTGCGACGTGCCAGGGGAGAGTGTTGAAATGCTGAGTGATTGATGTGCCCAGCTCTAGTAATACACATTCCCTTTCAGATAGGAAGTGCAACAGTGCTTAAAATCAATACCAGTGTTCGTCTACCGACTGCTTGAACACCACTACAGCTAATTCAGGCCGTACCTGTCAGAGCTGTGGAAACCTGTCCCTACTCGGGCTTTACACTTTAATTTACACCCACAGCCTCGCTGGCTTCCATTTCCATTAAAGGGAGAGCCTGGCATTATGGCTTTAATGAAGGCCGCGGCCGGCCTGTGATTTAAGATGGCCGTTACCTCGCACCTTCCCTCTGCAGGAGGGAACACACTTAAAGGGACAATTAGGATTTTCCTCCCCCTGCATTCTTTGATAATTCATACGGATCCCTTCCCTCACCCTGTTAAAGATGTCTGTCTGTGCTGCCTCAGCTGATGGTGTCTGAAAATGCCTGTGGGAGGAGGATGAAAACAGAAGGAGAGTGGCGAAATGTTGCGCTTCCAAGTCTTGACAATAACATTTGATTTGGCCTCATCATGGGTGTTACATTGTGCTCCTGTTGAGAAAGCATTTCGTTGTCCATCATAAATGACACAAACGTCTCCTGCAGGGGCTTTTTCCGAGGTGTTTGTATGCTGACAGATGGAGAAACTATTGGCTGGAGGGTGTCACAGATTGGTCAGCCCAAAGAGCTAATGGACACCTGTGTGTCGTATAGAGATAGCTCATTATCCTGAATGGCGCATCGTTCCGTGAGTGAAGAAGTTGTGTGGTGGCGTTCCCTTTCTCTGCTGTTTGTTTTATGGGGGCTGATTAACAGCAGCCCATCTCTACACACT